CGATATGATGACCAAGCAGCGAAGTCGTTCAGTCTCTTTGCTTTTAAGAATAGTCTTTTCTTTTTGTTTAACATACGTTTTAGACTGTTGGTAAACCAAGGAGATGCAAGGTCAGATGGAATCGCAGTTTTTGGCACAAAAGTGTGAAGTAATTCTATGAACATGTTTTTAATAAGGAACCAGTTTTCACTTACGGTTCTCTCGTCATGAGATGACATGTAATATCTTTCGAAGTTTAATATGGCTGCCGTCATCCCATCGTTATTAGCACGCGAAAACACGAATATTTGCTTAGGAATATTCGCGGAGCGGTTAACCTTCTGTGAAGTTTGAATATGAATCAGAGCGTGGTCACTTATACTTTCCATAGTACTGATAGACGTTACACATTCTGGATTAGTGCTGAAAAATAAATCTAATATAGCATTATTACGGGTTGCTGTGGTTATCCTCTGGTGAAGTCCAAACACACTGATTATCGAAAGGAACTCTGTACACTGACGAGAATTAGCATAGTTGGGAAAGGGCAGTAATGTAGACCAGTTTATTTCGGGATAGTTAAAATCGCCAGCAAGGAAACAGTGATCACTGGGAAAATTTTTGGTTACAGTCCCAATGACATGATATAATGATATATTGAATTCAGTTCGATTGACATGAGGCGGTCGGTAACAGACGCCGATTAAGACACTGCGGTAATCCAACTTGACGCGAATCCAAAGCACTTCAAGGTCAGACAAACATTCTATTTGGAAGCATGATACAGCTCTTTTGACCGCAATGATAACACCACCGCCCTGGCGAGGGTTCGGTCTTTCCGGAAAATAGCATATGATCGATTTAAGATGAGTTCGTCATTTGTTATATTAGGTGTTAACCAGGTTTCCGTGCCAAGAATGACGTCAGGCTCGCTACTGGACGTGATGTTTTCAAGTTCGTCTTGTTTGGATAGGATACTTCGAAAGTTAGCAACAATAAAGGAAAGATTAGCAGGAACGGTGCGATTTGTGGACTTGCGATTTACCCTTTGTCAGACATTCCGCGCAGTGACATCCCGGCGCGTGCGAAGGGAAACAACAGAATCACTCGCCGAGTCATAAATGAATGACTGCGCACCAACGTTTAGTTTGTTATAAATAATTTTGTATTTCGTTCCGCTTTCTCTGAACTGTTCTTCGAATTCCCACAACTTCTGCCTCGCAGAGCGCACCTTATCAGAAAAAGCTTCAGAGATTCGTATTGGGGGCGTTACATTTCTAAGCTTGAACGCATTGCGGAGAACTTCTCGATCTCGAAAGCTAAGAAATTTTACAATGATCGGTCGCTTTGTTCCGGATCGTTTTTGTCCCAACCGATGGGCCCTTTCAATTTCTCCCAAACTGATTCCGAGCATTTCTTGTGCAAAGCCAGTAATGATGACTTTGGCATCATTCCACGTCTCGTTTTCCAGTTCAGGTAAGCCTTTGAATATTAAATTATTTCGCCTCATTCGGTTTTCTAAGTCGTCAACGACCGTATTCATTTCAGTCAGGTGATCACGAAAAGATATCGAGTCGCACTTAATGCTGTTTACTGTTGTTTCAATCGCGCTTAAGTTTTCTTGAATTTTCGGGATTTCTTTTACTTGGCATTCTACTTTTGAGACCCGGGTTCCGAGAGCAGCAATGCCGCTGTTGATTTGATCCAATTTTATGGAGGTTTCTTGCTGATTTTTGTTGGTTGCTGCAATCAATGCTTCGATCGCGTGCTGTAGGTTATCAATCTTTTCTGCATTTGTAGGTCCGGGATTTGTCTCAACATCTCCGGCAGAGGCCAAAAGTATGAACATTACTGTAGCTATCATTAGCAGTCTCGCAAACCCAAACATGGTTCTGACAGGCAGGCGTAGCAACTTAACATGTTCAGGTGAGGTCGCTTTCTTCTTAGGTACAAAAGAACCTATACGTGCTCTGAAAGTAGCGATGTCGACACCCATCACAGCAGACAAACGAAAAAAACAAAAATGTAGTACAGAAACACTATTTGGGGATTCACAGCCACTTCAAGAGAAGAACACCGCGTACGGGAAGCTTTGCGCTCACCTGCAACGATATCGACGGTGTGAATAGTAGAGTGACAGGGCCGTGAATCCCGCGGTTTCCCTTGCGTCGCTTGTATTTGTAGATCCTGGAATTCGGTCGGTGCTGGCGTGGGTGGGGCTTGGTTGGGTCACGAGGTTTGTCGTCGTGATTTGTCAAGCTGGTACCGGCGCTGTCATCCTCGGGAAGGGGCACGAGCTGCAACGATATCGAAGGTGTGAATAGTAGAGTGACAGGGCCGTGAATCCCGCGGTTTCCCTTGCGTCGCTTGTATTTGTAGATCCTGGAATTCGGTCGGTGCTGGCGTGGGTGGGGCTTGGTTGGGTCACGAGGTTTGTCGTCGTGATTTGTCAAGCTGGTACCGGCGCTGTCATCCTCGGGAAGGGGCACGAGCTGCAACGATATCGACGGTGTGAATAGTAGAGTGACAGGGCCGTGAAACGGGCCTGTCACTCTACGGTCGAGCTAAATGTGGGTTGTGTCCAAGTGTGGTGGGCCGGAATACGGTCGAGCTAAATGTGGGTCGTGTTCACACGCTTAGGTTTCGAACAAGGCAGGCTTGCCGATATGCATCCGCCGGTTGTTCTAGACCAAAACGCGCTGCAGTGCCGAACACATTGCTTCGAGATGTTTGAGAAACTAGGGCTACATGAAAAACACCTGTGTTTACATCTTTAGAATAATGAAGAAACGAAAAGAAACATCACCTCCCGAATTAAGGCAAGTACTTTACGCAACACGCTCAGTAAATTGTGAGTTCTAGCGCGTGCTTCATTTATTTTCATTTCAAGTTTGTGTTGTAGAGCTAATGATATCATCGTCACGTTTGTGTGTACCTGCAGCTTGGTTTTAAAATAATTTTAACCAAACACAACGAACTTATAAAGATTCATGAAGTCTTCTTTTTTTCATTGTAATTACCCTTTTTTCCAGCCAATTTCTAAAATAACAAATTAAATTTAATTGTTCCTTATAGAGCATTTGGAGCAAGACTATTTTTTTCTCGAAATTTTCAGGTTGAGAGCGTTCATGATAATTCATGTGTTTCATGAACAATCATAAAAATCAGGATTATGTATGAGGTTTTTCATTCCAGAATAAACACACGGGTTGTATTCCGAAATCTTCTTGTCTGGCTTTGTACTCGACGTTTGTGTTTCAGTTAGTCCATAGCAGTTTTCGGGGAGCTAATCAAATATTTATACTTGCTGCCTAAATCAACGAAATGACAGCAATACGCCAAGCAAGTGAAGTACGATGCTTACCTTTGCGCTTCATAGAGGGAGACACTATCTCGGCGTTTAGCTTTTCGGTGATTTTAGCGCGTCTGATAGTTCTTTGAAAACAACTTATCCTTTCAAAGATCAGATGAGGCAAACGAAGCGTTAACCTTCTAAAGAATGTCTAGTTTTTTTGGGTTCTTTTTGCTTTTGTTTTTTACAGAGGTGGTTGAAGATATTGGCGTTCTGTGTATTATACTTTTTTAAAAATTATGACTTATACTGCGTAAAAGTAAACAATTATGAGCATAAAGTCGCTGGCTACGGCTACTGTCTGATACGAAGGGTGTCTCTTTTTAGCGAAAAAACCAACAAATGAAGGCGGGGAGCAACGAGCGCGCAAAGACACATCTCTAATAGCAGACTGTTTTGACTAAAATGTGGCGAGGGCTTTCTCGGTGTATGCTTGACTTTGTCTTCATTATTACTAAACCCCATTGAATCTACATGACGTAAACGCGAAAGATTCTTTTTCGGGCTATTTCGGTGATGTGTCACCAGCTGCCGCCGCATCTCGGCTGCTGAGTCCTTCAAACGTATTTGCCTTGCAGACGGCCGCCGTAGGCAGCGAATGCACGCTCTTAATTGTCTGCTATGGAGTCAAGCAAATTTATACCCCTGTCAGACGGGCACCTCGAATGTCATTTACGCTAAAAGCCTTTAGGATTTTCAAATCACATATAAGTCGGGCACCTCAAATGTCATTTGGGTGATGTCTATCACGATAGCGGTCTGTTGTTAAGCTAACAATGTAGCATTTGTATTATTGTTAACCCGGCAAACTAGTATTTATTTTATTGTTTACTAAGTAAATAAAATGTAATAAACTCTTAGAACATAGAATGCGAACACGGAGATGAATACTAAGTAGACGTTTTGACGGAGACAAGGTATTCTGTGGCAACTATGACACGACGTCAGCAATCCCAAGTAATCCGTAGCCGTATCCGTTCCGCCACCTGGTTCGTCTGCCTTCGGAACTCCGCGCATCTTGCTCGCCGTTGTTCCTCGCGCTCTTTCGTTCTTCGCCGGATTCGTATACCCCGTTGACGTTTACGTCTGCGATCGATCAAGCGAAGACCGCGACGCTGTAGCGATGGAGCCTGCTGACGACAGTGATCGTAGTGCGATGGATCCGGAGCGTCGGATTGCTTTCCTGGCGTGTTTGTACGCACAACAACAGAGTGCCTTGACGCTGCTGAGGGCCGACATATGATCTGCCAGTGCAGAAAGCGTCCGCCTTCAAGAAAGGCTCCTTTCCAACGACCTGATGTTCGCTGCCGTTGGAGCGTCAAGTATCATCCCACGAAGCATCCAAGCGTTCAGGAGGAACGAACGCTGGTTTGAGGACACTCTACCGCACTTGCCGGAGCACTTCTTCAAGCAGTCCTTCCGCTTCAAGCCGGTTACGTTTAGGTACCTGGTAGACGTGTGTCGGCCCCACATGGAGCGCGAAGTTACCAACATGCGTTCCACCATTCCGGCGGAAAAGAGAGTTGGTGCCGCGCTGTACAAGTTGTGTTCGAGCGCAGAAGACCGCACCATCGCCAACTTGTTCGGCCTGGGACGGTCCACCGTCAACGAGAACTACAGGGAGTTCTGTAGGGTAGTTGTCTCCGTCCTCGAGCAGGACTGGCTCAAGATGGTGAGCGCCGCCGAGCTTCCGGACCACATCCGGGAGTTCCAAGCTGCTCTGGAGTTTCCACAGGGCATAGGGGCGCTGGATGGCTGCCACTTCCCCATCTCACCACCGAAGGTCAACGCGAGCGACTACCACAACTACAATAGCTGGTAGGTAACCTTTACTTCAAGGATAATGTGTATGATCATCTATGGACTGCTAGAACCAATACCATATACGTTGAACTTCCTGGCCCTCTAGGAAGTCGGGCATCTGTTTTCAAACCGATATTGCAACAAAAAAAAAAAAAAAACAATTTCTCTAATAAATATTGACTGTGAATTTCTCTCAGTAAACAAATTCAATGAAGCTGGCCAAACTGAATGATGCAAACTTCTCGTTGCCTGCTAGCAAGTGTTCTAAAATGAGTCTTTGAGGTATCGAAACAAAGAGGGGCACGCCAAGCAAAGAGCAACGAAGAGAACGCATAGAAAATTTGCGATGATGAGGCAGCCAACTCGTGCCGTCATTGGTCGAGGGGAAACAAACCCATGTGGGCACATTTGGGGGGAAAAATGCACGAGGTGCGCAAAAAGCAGACAAACTTGCACGGCAAATGGTTTCAAAGGTTTCGATTTGAATAAAATGTACCTGGACCAAACATTTTTCCCTGTAAATTTTTATATGGTGATATAAGCTACACCTGTTTGATGACATAAAGGTTATGAAATGGCTATTCTTGAATATGAGATGCCAGCAACTGATAGCCAGCTTTTTACACTTAATGTGATGTTTAGAAGCTATGTACACCTCTGTTCTGCGGAGTTTTAACGAATTGTGCTGTGCTGTCTACTTCCCTTTTGAATCTCCAGTTTTGAGGACTGTATGGCTACAGCATTCAACACCTATGAAACTGATATATACCTTGTAATGTTTGTATCCAGGTATAGCATCATCCTGCTGGCCCTCGTAGACCACCGTTACCGGTTCCGGTATGTGAATGTCGGGGCACCAGGGCGGTGCCACGACGCACATGTGTACCGGAGGTCGGCTTTGACGGCTGTTCTAGAAGGACCAACGCTGCAGATGCCCATGGTCACCATCAACGGGACCACCGTGCCGCCCCTGATGCTGTGTGACCAGGCGTTCCCTTTGACGTCCAACATGCTCAAGCCGTACCCTCGCAAGGACGTTAAGAAGGACTCTCCACAGGACGGCTTCAACCGACAGCTGTCATCTGCTCGCCGAGTCGTGGAGAACTCCTTCGGAAGGGTCAAGGCCCGATTCCGCTTCATCGTGAAGAGAATGGAGTGCGAGGTGGACAATGCCCGGCTTGTTGTGCGAGCCTGCTGCATTTTAAACAATGTGTGCGAACATTTCAATGACGGTGTCGAGCCCCAGTGGCGCAGCGACGTGGCGACGGAGGATAGGATCTATCTGCAACCGATGTGCACCACAGATGCTGAGGCAGACAATGGGCAGAGCGTCAGGGACGCTATTGCGGGCTATCTACACCAACGCTCGAGGCGGATGGTCTAGATGAAGAGCTCAATTGGCTGCTCCTGTTTGCAGCAACAGAAGGACCAAGACCAGAGACCTTGACATCTACGAGGGCCCTTTCCAGTGCGTGAAGAACAAAAGGCCCTTTTTAGGGCCAAACAAATCTGGCTTTGGAGCGTAAGACGTGCTGCCAACTCCCGTGTCCCAAGTGAAGTCTCATGTTTCGGTCCATATGCTTAGCCTTCTGTATGCTTTCATGTGGCTTTTATAACACAATTTGAAAAAATTTTAGGGCATTGACTGCCCAAATATAAGTTCAAGCACCTTTCATAGCTACTATGTGCAATGAAACAAAGCTTATAAAAAAAATATCATCTGAAAGGGTCACTGCTGGAGTACAAGAAATACCAGCACCTGTTTGGGGGATTCCTTCAACTGTTGCTTTCTACGAGAGTTGCAAGGAAAAAAAGTATGGGTGTGCACATAGTAGAATTTCAGCTTGAATGAAATCAAATATTCCCAAATAGTTGGCAAAAAGTCCAATGTATAATCAAATAATGAATACCAAGAATTCTGTTTGGGGGCTCCACATGCCAAACCAATCAATGGCATCTGGTACAACTTAAGGAAAAACTGGGGATTAGTGTGGGTCACCTAGGGACCTTGAGGTACAACCGAAATCTTGGTTACACAGCGCCCTCTCCGCAATAAGCCTCCGGCAGATTGCAGACACCTCGGACAGGATTAGATCCCGCCAACTGGGGATACGTTGGCAAACGTTCTGCTCTGGAGCCACCAAGGCAGCTACTCTTGAATGTAACCTAAATGCACACCGGGACAGCTTACATTGCAGTTTATGTGGTATTTTTATTCATGAAAGCCATCAATGCAGTCGCGAGCTCTTGCTGCACCTTGATGGCGGTTTCTTGCCGGACTATTTCCCGCTCGCGTAAGGCGAACTCTCTTGCCCTCGATGCCTCAAAACTCTGCCTGAGCAGCCTCTGCTCATCAATCACCGTTTTAATGTATGCGGTGCTTGGAGCTTGCGGCCTCTTCCTTTTCTGTGGCCTCGGCGGCGTGTTGCTCGTGTCATTGACGCTGCTGGGCCCCGGCCTGCTTACACTTGTAGTGGCGGGGGTGCTGGTGACTTGGCTTTCCTCGCCATGCAGCTCCTCTCCCGGTTCCTCGACGGGCTCCTCGAAGTAGTCTACTTCGACCACGCCTCCCTCTTGCATGTCGGAGAGCAACTGAGAGGAGTACCACACAATTAGTTTTCTTGTTAAGCTACAAGACACTGCAGCAAGCTGTTAGGTGCCACCCAAAGCCATTATACAAGGGGTACTCAAAAGTAACGGAGCTCCAACCCTGTGTATGAATGCTTTGTAGTTGAGAATCATAATGCTAGGTATTGCTACCATAGTTATGTGCATCAAAAGTGCAAAGTTGCTATAGCTCTATACTCTGTTTCAGAGACATCATTCAACGCTCTCAAAGATACTGGCACAAGCACGGGACCGTCACACGCGTGCAAAGTTTCATCGCTTTGCAACGGCTTGTCGAAAAAGCAGCCAAAGCAGAGGAGCACCTCGATTAGCTCGATGAACTCTGCTGGGTGGGCTATTTTCAAAATAATTTCATGCATTTGCCACTGGCTGCCACTTGTACATTCTAACGATTTGTTATTCAAAAATGCGGAAACTTTTCTGAGAGAAACGACGAAACCCACCTCCACTACTGCTGGTGTAGCATGGTTAGAAGACAGGCTTTCATCCACGAGGGTCGTGTCGTTCAGCGGTAGAGACCCCAACAGTCGGTTGAGGTCCCAGAAGAAGGGCCACTTCATGGCACCGGAACCCGTGGTGGTCCCTTCCCTCAGATGTTTTCTGAAAAATGGGATTGCAGTAAATGGCAACTTTATGGCAAAGCTATCGATGTATGTATAATGAGATTTTTTAACTGGGATATTTAAGTCATGATTTAAATCATGATTTAAATCATGATCTAAACCACAGTTTAAGTAATCTTAATTTTTATTTTCCGTACTGACTCATACTACTCTCAGGGTGCATGCAACTTTATAATTATCTTACGGGTACGTGTTGGTCAAATTTTCTATCTTGGTGTGGACCTGGTCCTTGGTCCTCACGATGCCGCAACGAAGCAGCTCCTCCGCAATCTCTTCGTAAACGACTCCGTTACGCTTGGCGCGTCGAAGGTCCTCCATTTTGCCCTCCCAGAGCCGGATCAACGTCCAGGTCTCCTGGGAAGTCCACACTACGCGCGGTACCCTCTTCTTCGCGGCCGAAGGTCCCGCTCCGTTCGACATGGTGTCACTTCGCGCGCGTCCTTAAAACGACTTAAAACAATAAAAATATATATGTACAACAAAAATATTATTTATATACAACACAAGAATAAAAGACTCTAAAACGATGATAAAATATAAACAAAAGAAATAGAAGATGAGACAGATAAATGGCAAAAGGAATGGGAAAGCTAAACAACCGAGGTAAGCGAGCGAGCAGACGAGCGAGCAGACAACGGCTGGTACTGGGCAACTGAGACCGCGAGTATATTAAACAAATATATCGCAAAAGGTGTGCGAGATATACAGGTTATAAGCATTTTTTTTCTGAAAATAATCGTTACAAGCACTGTTTTCAATTGTATTTATATTATTTATAATGTTTTATTTCAATTCGCGGAACTTGCGCTGACCGCTGTTGACGAGACTACACATTTGCGAGCCGTAAATGAGTTTGGGCGAACTCAGTTGAGCTCGAATGTCATTTAAGTCGAATGTGATTTAAGTTCCCGTGTGACACTGCCTAAATGACATTTACACTGAATGTCATTTGGGGTAAATGACATTTGAAGTGCCCGTCTGACAGGGGTATTAGTCCCTCAATTCTTGATACAAAAGACAGACCATACTAGGCCGTCTCCGTACAAAATTTTTACCCGCTTTATTAGGACACCGACCCATGCAGTCCCATTAAAGGGCGAACACCCCCCCCCCCCCCCAATCTCTTTCCTCATAAAATAAAAAGCGCACGAAATAAAATGGAAAAAAGAGAATACACGTACGACAGTCAAGCTCTTGTTTGTCGTACTAATGCCCCTGAACAAGAAAGGTAGCGCCATCTTCTCCCTCATCCTCTGACGCGCACACCTTTTATCTTTATGTTTTGGTTTTTTTACACCCGCGCGTCGACTGCAGTGCCGCCTGGATTGGCCCAAGATAGCAGACGGCCTTCGCATACTTGAGTCAGAGCGCAGTCAAAGGCTGAAAGACACGCAAATACTTACACCAGGCTAAAAGCGCACTTTCACGGTCTGCCAGCCTCGAAGGATGTGGTCAAAGAACGACGACGATGAAAGCCATGACGTTGCACAGTCGGCGTTATTTCATTGGCGACATGAGCTCATACACTGTTAGCAAAAATAACACGCCCAGACGTGTAAACCGTTGTCCCATAGCGGGCACGTCGAAACGTCTTCGTTTTACACGCAGCCATCTGTGTTTTTCGTCTACACACGAGGCGCCGTGTAAACTCAACACGCTACACCGTGTCTGCTTTCCGTAAAACACGTTTCGAACGTCTTCCTTATGAAACATGTCGGCCAGCAGCCGAGAACAGGCGAGAAACGAACCCAGCGAGCCGCGCGCCTTTCAGCCGAATTGAAAGCAAACAGGACGCGTTAGTTCTCGTTCGATGAGTGAAGTCTCCAAGCGGTGGACGTAGTTACGTGCAAAGGTACGTACGTGCGTTGTAGGCGGTCGGCGGCGTCGGTAGCTTCAACGGAGCCGCTGGACAAAAAAAAAAAAAAAAAAACGAATGCCGAACTCACATGGATAAATAACTAGAGCAAACTATTTAAAATCGGGCGGTAATTTGCGCCACCTAGCAAGATATCTAGCAGCCTATATTTTAAAAAAAAATTGAAAGCCGCTTACAACTCTCTGTAACGCCGATTAGAGCGCAGCTCTTGAGGAGGAGGAGGGAAAGGCGCTGGGGGGGTTAGACTAACCAGGGGGGGGGGTCACATGACCTTGGGGGTCACGTGACCCCCAATGACGATGATGTCATCACTGACGTCACTGATGATGTCATCAGTGACGATGACGATGCAGGTACCGATGACGTCACCAGTGATGATGACGATGCGAATGTCGGTGACGTCATCAGTGACGTCGCTGACGACGTCATCAGTGATGATGACGATGACGATGCGGATGCCGGTGACGACATCAGCGACGTCACTGATGACGTCATCATCACTGATGACGTCACCGGCATCCACATCGTCATCGTCATCATCACTGATGACGTCACCGGCATCCACATTGTCATCGTCATCATCACTGATGACGTCACCGGCATGCACATCGTCATCGTCATCATCACTGATGACGTCACCGGCATCCACATCGTCATCGTCACTGATGACGTCATCATCATTGATGACATCATCATCATTGATGACGTCACCGGCATCCACATCGTCATCGTCATCATCACTGATGACGTCACCGGCATCCACATCGTCATCCGCATCGTCATCGTCATCATCACTGATGATGACGTCATCAGTGATGATGACGATGACGATGTGGATGCCGGTGACTTCATCAGTGTCGATGACGTCATCGGGGGGCACGCGACATCGGCGGGGGTCACGTGACCTCGGGGGATCACGTGACCTCGAGGAGGGGGTCACGTGACCTCGGGGGGGGTCACGTGCCCCCCACGAAGTCACGTGACCCCGGTGGGGGCTCGCGCGCTGCATTATGGGACATTTCCCATGATGCACCGCGCGGTTACGCCGACGGCGACGCCGCCGCAGCTCAAGCCGGAAACGGGCCCCTAAGAGCTGCGCTCTAAAAAAAGACGAGTGTATTACTACACTGCGAACGACCACGACTGGACAGCAACCCTACAAACATAGTAGGAAACACCATTACCACGTACTACACGGCACCGACATGTACACAAACAGAACAACCGACACTACGCCCAACACTTCCTTTTTTTTTTCTTTATTGCCGGGTCATGACATTCAAACATCAAACAGATAGCCGTATTACGGTGTAAATACTAGCCTACATTTGGCTAGGGGTGTGTTTTTAAAATTGTCACATGAAAAACAACCCTTCTATAGTCGGTAGCCACTCAGGGACTTTCTGCTGGGACTTCGCAGTTTCAACAAATGATACAACACTCTCACGGAAATACTCACGTGCCTCCCGTGCATCACGGTCGGCGTGGCGCACTGCCATCCTCATCCTCCAGATGCTATGCAGACAAAGCAACATTATCAGATCGAATGGGACGCCACCCTCGTTATCAACCGGTAAATACCTAATCCCATGGGGGTCCAGTGGCAAGTCTTCCTTTAGGGTGCGTTGAAGGACGTCCTAAAGGAAGATGCCGTCCCAACACTCCAGGAAAACGTGTTCTATAGTCTCGGGTTTCTTACAGAGGATACAATCGACACCCAAGGGAACGAACATGCCCTTCTCTTCTATGAAAGTCTTTACCGGTAAGGTAGCAGTATGTAGTTTAAAGAAAAACGTTTTCACACCGGGAGGCACTAACATTTTTTTAACACGCTTCAAAACGTCCTCTCCTGGACCCGCACTGTACAACGCTCTGTACATTGGCACAGGGAAAACAACATCACACACATCCTTATATAATTTTTTTCGTGATACAGTACTTAAATATTCAAACGAGAAACGGGCAGCTAAAAACCGACATGAGGCAACCACCTCTTTAAGGTGGCCATGAATGCCCCCTGCTACAAAAGACGAAGTGAACACTAACTCGGGCAAAGCCCGCCCCAGTCTCATTTGGAACACCGTGCGCAAGAAAGGGTCGGTGGCATCACGAAAGAAAAGAAAACGATTTACGATCTGCCGTAGAAACAGGTGTGAGAGGCTTAGTCCCCCCTCAGTTCTGGCAGCAGTTCGGCACTCGACTGTCAAGCTACCTAACGTATTACGTAGAGGCACGATGCTTGGACTCCTTCGAGAGGCTGAAGGCGCTGCTAGTCGCGGACCAACTGAAAGCATCGGTTGGTGCAGACGCCCTTAAGTACATAACCTTTAAGGAAGGGAAAGAGTGGTTCGATCGGTCGCAAATCGCAGACCTCCTCGCTTTGTATGATCAAGCCAAGTGCCGCAGCGCCACGCCCGTTCGTCCTGGAGCGGGAGGTGCAGAGAAGGGGGAGATTGCACGGAAACCAGAAGGTAAGAAGAATCCCGGGTGCTTTAGGTCTTCAGGGGGTTGGTTTGGTGGCAAGACATGTTACAGGTGTGGCAGTCCGTCACACCTGGCAGCCGCATGTCCACAGTCGAGGGAGGAGAGGGCAACCGCTGACGCCAATAGCTCCAAGGTACAATGCGTGGAACTCAGCCTAGAAAACAGAGAGACGCTGGCGGCAAAGATCGAGAGATCAGGAGAGAGGCGAGGCGTACAGTCGCCGTTACTTCACACACAGGTGATTTGCGGCGGGCAACCCATAAACGCCATCGTAGACACGGGCAGCGAGATTACCGTCGTGCGTGAAAGCTTGCTGCTTCCGAGAGACATCGAACCGAGCGGTTCGATAACTCTCGTGGCCGAGTTTGGATCCAAGATCCAAGCCAAGCTGGTCACTATTCATATGAAACTCGCACCAAGCGGGGCTGATACCGTCCCTCCCACGGTGGTTGAAAGGATTCCGATCTTGTGTGCCCTGACGGACGAACTCGCGCCCCATACGGATTGCCTGCTATCAGCAGAGGTGTGGGAAGCGTTAAATCCCACTGAAACTGAGCGGGAGCAGCTCCCGGGAGTGACCGAACGTAGCGAAGAGTCGCACATGCACGTGGTAACCCGGGCGGGGGTGGGTGCGGCGCCCAGAGAACTGACGGCGCGACGCCATCGGGAAACAGCGACGGGGAGCGAGACCGATCGCCCCGTGTTCGAGCGGGAAGCCCCTTGCTCCGAGGGAGCTAGGAAGGAGGAGCTGTCGGGCGAACAACGGCGCGACCCGACGCTGACAA